AAAAAAAAAAAAAAAAAGAATATAGCAAGATACCTGACTATTTAAGCTGTCTGTCATGAGATAATAGAATTATAAATAGATAGTAATATAATCCCACATTTCTGCCTGGAGGAAGTAATAAAAAATGTGAGAAAAGTTTTACTTCCAAAGCCTTCCGCCAATTGTGCACATACGGTTTAGCTACAGGTTAGGGGCTACTTCCTTTGCATTCATAGCCTCAATAATAAATGTTACAATTGTTCAGACATTTGAAATGATTAAAAAAATCTCATCAACCAAATGATGAAATCAGCATAAACAATGCCTGAATGCCATTAAACATTGCTTTGGATGAACCACAATAATAAATGTTGTTGTTGTTATTGTTAAGTGCCATTGAGTTGCTTGCAACTCATAGTGACCCTGTGTACAAAAGCCCTAAACCCTGCTCTATCCCTTGCCAATCTTATTGTCTCAGACATGCCTATCCCCATTAACCCAGTGACGAGGGTCTTCCTGTTCTGCACTGCCCCTGAATCCTCCCAAGAATAATGTCCCTCTCTATGGACAGATCCCTCCTTGTAACATGTCCAAAGTATGTCAGATGATGCTTCAGAATCCTTGCCTCTAAAGAGCAGCCTGGCTTCACCCTCTCCAGAACAAACTTGTTTGTTCTCCTAGTGTTCATGGTATATTCACTACTCTTCTCCAGCACCAAAGCTCAAAGGCATCAATTTTCCTTCTATCATTCCCTAGCCATTGCCCAGCTCTCTGATGCATAGGAAATAATTGCAAAGACCATGGCTTGTATCAGGTACACCTTAGTCTCCAGACTGACATCGTTGCTCCTCAGTACCTTGGAGAGGTCTCTGACAGAAGACTCTCAAGCTTTTGATTTCTGAGCTGATGGTACCAAGAGTGTTGATTGTAGAGCCAAGCAAATTAAAGCTATTTACACTCTCAATCTCTTCATCCATCACGATGCTGCCAATCAGCCCAGTGGTGAGAAGATCTGTTTTCTTGGTGTTGAGCTTCAATCCATATTGAAGGCTGCAGACCCTCTGCAGCAAGCGCTTCAGGTTCTCCTCAGTTTCAGCAAGCAGGGTTGTGTCATCTGCATAACGCATATTCTTCTTTTTTTTTTTTTT